TTCATGGTGTCAGCATGTTAAACTAGTGGAAGGCTGGGCAGATATTATGCTGGAAGGTGTTAATGGCTGCCATCAACCATTTCTTTGATCTGTAGAGAATTACTGAGATGGCTGAAACTACTGGCTCTGAGGGTGTGTTCACATTGCAATTGAAAACCTGTGGCTGGCACCTTTCAGCTGCCTTGGGCTTGTGGGGCTTTGTCGAAGGGGCTGTTTAATTGCGGTGTAGACATTTGAGCTTGGGCAGGAATCTGGGCTCTAAAGACCCGGGGATGTGTGTGTGGGGGGGTCTGTCTACACAAGCCCCGTGAGCCCCAGTCAGCTGGCATCACAGGGGTCTACTTGCAGTGTAGACATACCCTATGCGTGTCCTCCCTCCTCATTTCCTACCTTTTGGTTTTTCTGATTTTTCACTGAAATTGAGTTCAGCTCACTGATGCCTAGGATATTCCCTACCATTTTGGAATTGATCTCCGGCAGTGTTCAAAAGTTGTCATGCTACAGACCGAGAAATGCCACCAAGTTGCCACTCAGCCAACTAAACAAATATGCATATAGAAAAGGAGTACATGTTTTCATTGATCTGCATAAAGACTGTTCCCATTTATCCTATTTAGCAGGCAGGGAAATGGGGCGGCCAATCAGATGGGATTTCCCCATAGACTAGTTTTTTTCCTCTCCATAAACTCATAGTAGGGTCTGAAAACTCAGAGGGTTGGTATCTATGCCTGGCAATTTTATCTTCAGTGGAAGTAAAAGAAGGCCTATGATCTGAGGCTTACAGTTGTTTGGGAGGCATACACTGTTGACTAGAGGTGAAGTTGATAGTAGGAACCTATTGCCCCACAAATTAGAAAAAAAATTATCACCCTGGGATATAATGCTTGAAGGAATTGTTGCAATCTGAGATGAAGTTTTCCAGCCTGTAGGGAAATAGATTTTCTTATAAATGTAATCTTTTCACTGTGGGCTCAACTCTTCCTGTCCCACTCTACAGGCATGGAAGGCTCAGAATTGCCACAGTTCTCTCCTTTGGGTGGGAAGCAGGCTATGTAGAGGCCAGTCAAGGGAAGCTGCATCTTTGGTGTCCCATGGAGCAGTGGTTCACAGTGGTTCCCATGGAGCAGTGGTTCCACATCTGTGTCATTGAAATTTAGGGTTTGGAGTAAGCAGGGGCTGGAGGCAGGGTGGATAAGCTCATGGCAATTCCTTTGCAAGGGAGAATGTAGCTGGTAAAACTGCTGATTCTTTTTCTCCCAACCTCAGTGGAGAGTCCAACCAGGATTTGTCCCTGTGTGCCTGTCTTTAAAAATGTCTTCTGTTCCTGTAAATAATGTGGACTGAAAACTTTACTTATTTAGTTCACAAGACTTTTGACCTTGTCGCAGCCAGCTGGTGAATAGTTTTAGAGAAAAAAAAAATTACTGATCAGCGAGGAGAGTAATAATTCAAAACTGTTTTAAGATACACAGCTCTCTCTCAGCTTAGCTGGATTGTGTCTAAGAAATTGAGGCTGTAAATAATTATACACTGCATAGTTAGTAGAATAAATTGGCTGGATTGCTGTAACCCCTTGACTCCTCTATCCTAGAATGTACACTTCAGTTGATACAAAAGCTAGTGTCTCTCCATAGTTAATGTTGAAGCAAGGCTTCCATTATAAACCTGTGGTGACACCCATTTGAAAGCAAGCTACTTGAAATCTTAGGTGTGGTCTGGTGCCAGGCCAGAATATTTCTGGAAAGCTGGAGACAAATTGGACAAGGCATTTGGGAAAGGAAATAGGGAGGTTCGAAAATGTAGGCGATCTCACTTTAGAGAGTTTTCTAATGCTGTGTTGTAATGTCGTAACTCAGAAATGGTTTGGTGTAGATATCTTACATTTGAGTTAATAGGCTGCCATTGGTGAGGAGTGATACCTTTGTCTAGTTCTGTGTGGGGTGGGAGAAAGAACAATACTTACACTAGAAACATCAATGTTCCGAATGCTTCATGCTGGCTCGTGCCTCTTTTACACAAAATATACTGACTTGCTCTGCTGCTTCCGAAGCAATGTCAGGGCCTTGGTGCAGCAGGTCACAAGGGGCTGGGCTGGACACCGTCTGCAGTAACTGCTTTAAAACATGCAAGACCCACAGATGTTTCTGTAGAGTTTATAAACTACTGAAATTATAAACCCCACAGGAAATTTAAAGCCAGTGAAACCCACAGGTCTTCCATATTTGAGGGTTGGTAAATAGAAAAGACAATCTCTGCTTTCATTTAAAACATCCCAGGGCTCTAGCCATAAGTGTACAGCCCTCTTTCTAGCAAAATAAACAGATGCAAATCATTGTAAACTGATCACTAGGGCTGAAAGTTTGTGTCCTAAAGATCACAGGGTATTCGTGCGTCTTCTAAGGCTACCCAGCACTGGCAGTTGGGATGCACGGACATGTTAGCTGTAGGTTCCTGCATTTTTGGGAGGATTCCAGATCATTATGCAGCTTCCATTGATGGTACTTGGATAACTATGCTCTGGGCTGGTTGCTTGCAGCTGAGTTGGCACCTCTGCAGTGACTAATCTGGGCAATCTGTGACCACAAGGAAAGGCAGTTCAGTAACATGGGAGGGAACGTGATCTAGTGGACTAGGCATGGAACTGTAAATAAAGGACGTCCACATTATAATCCTAGTTCAAACCTGAATCTTTCTGTGGCCTTGGTCAAATCATTTAACTTTTACAGCTTACTTTTTCCATCTCTATAATGGGCAATAATGTTTACCTACCTCAAACTGGAAGGGGGAACAACAGTTTGTAGTTTGTGAGAATGAAATAGTATTTATAAAGCACAGTATATGTACGATTCACTGGGCTGCACACACAATCCTCCAGTTGTTTGGGCCAAAGGCATCCTGGAACCCCAGTTCATTTGAACAGTTATTTCACAAAGCTTTTTTAAAATGTTGGCAGCTGTGCAAAGGCTTCAGCACAGAGATGATATCCAGCAATGGGAGGCTTAAAGGAGCAGAGACCTAAATGCACATAATGTTTTTATGAACATGAGTCTGTTACATTTGTGGTGCATCCCAAAAACTAACCTTGTTTCCTCTCCTCCCTGTCGTCATCCCCCCACCACCACCACCCCAGGCCGGCTCCAGGCACCAGCGTTCCAAGCAGGTACTTGGGGCGGCAGTGTTTCTGTGGTGGTGGCAATTCGGCGGCAGCCCCTCAGTGGTGCTGGCCGGGGCGGCAGTTTGGCGGCAGCTTCTATGTTCCGCCGGCCGCGGTGGCAAATTGACAGCAGCTTCTCCCCTTTGCCGTCCGTGGCAGCAGTTTTTTTTTTTTTTTTTTTCAGTGCTTGGGGCGGCAAAAACAGTAGAGCCGGCCCTGCCCCCCCCCACACCCCTCGCAAAAAAACCCAAACAAACCCAAGAAGGGACAAAAATATCCTAAGGCCATCTTTGTTGTGTAGTAGTGTGAGCATGGTGGACTGATGTTTGGGTGGGGTGGGGGAAAGAGAGTGGTGGCAAAACATTGGTTCTCAGGCCTGCTAAAAAGTGCTCAGGCTGGCTCTGTGGAGTTTATAAGTTTTAGATGACACACTCTCTCTCTCTCTCTCTCTTTCCCCCCCCCCCCCCCCCCCCCATAGTTCAGTAGGCTTTTTGGGTGGTGTTGAGGGAAGAAAAGCAAAATTACAGTTGTTTGGGTAACCTTAATTATATATTTTCATATTTTGTATGTGTGTATTTAATTCAACCTTTATTTAGAATTTCTTGACTTTTTAATGTTCAGGTTTTTAAATATACAGTGCTCTCAAGTTCTTCTTCCCTTAAAATTGCACAGAAGCTGGTGTTTTTGTTTTCCTTTTCTGCTGCTTAGAATGTAAAGGAGAATCAAAATCCTTTTTAGTTAATCCTAAATCAGAGATGGGCAAACTACAGTGGCCCGCGGGACCGTCCTGCCCAGCCCCTGAGCTCCCGGATGGGGAAGCTACCCCCGGCCCCTTCCCTGCAGACTCAGCACGCTGTGTCACTGGCAGTCTGGCCCACCGCTCCCGCCAGGCAGGGCGGTGGTGTGGCTGTGAGCTCCTGCCGCTCTGAGCAGTGTGGTAAGGGGCGGGGAGGGGTTGGATAAGGGGCAGGGGATCCCGGGGGGGCAGTCAGCAAGCAGGGTGCAGTTGGATGGGGTGGAGGTTCAGGGGTGGTGGTCAGGGGACGGGGAGCAGGGGGTTGGATAGGGGGTGGGGGCATGGATAGGGTCAGGGCAGTCAGGGGACAAGGAGCAGGGGGGGTTGGATATGGGGTGGGGTCCCGGGGGCAGTCAGAGGGTGGGGGTATGAATAGGGATTGGGGCAGTCAGGAGCAGGGGGGTGGTTTGATAGGTGTGGGAGCAGGGGGGCCTGTTAGGAGGTGGTTGGATAGGGGAGAGGTTCTTGGGGGGGCAGTTAGGGGATGGGGAACAGGGGGGTTGGATAGGGGATGGGGTCCTGGGGGGCAGTCAGGGGGCGGGGGTGTGGATAGCGGTCGGGGCAGTCGGGAGACTGGGAGCAGGGGGTTTGGATAGGGGCAGGGGTCCTGGGAGGGGGCGGTCAGGGGACAAGGAGCAGGTGAGGGTTGGATGGGTTGAAGGTTCTGAGGGGGGCAATCAGGCGGTGGGAAGTGGGAGGGGACAGATAGGGGGTGGGGTCCAGGCTGTTTTGGGGAGGCACAGCCTTCCCTACCCGGCCCTCCATAAAGTTTCACAACTCCAATGTGGCCCTAGGGCCAAAAAGTTTGCCCACCCCGTCCTAAATTCATAACCATGCTTGACTTTTAAAAAATATACAACTAGTCCATATTCACTTTGGAATATAAATCTCGTTTCCATGATTGTGCTGGGTTACATAGTTTTTGATAAGTTAAATTGAAATTCTGTTTTTGATTAATGGGAAATAATGTAAAATTAATGGAGTTAGTTTCTTAGCTTTCATGTTTTGCTATTCTGTGCCTGATTAAGTCTCTTAATTTTTGTTTTCAAGGGGTTTGTGAACATTTGTCCTTGAAAGCTTACTGAAGTATTTTATTTGTATTGCCTGGAAGGATGTAGCTTCAGTTGATGATGAATCAGTGTTTTTCCTAAACAAGATACAAGGTATTCTTTTTTGCTAAGCTTCCTAGTGTAACCAAGGATTTGTACAGATAAATTATAGATAGGGCTATCAAGCGATTAAAAAAAATTAATTGCGATTACTCTCACTGTTAAACAATAATAGAACACCATTTATTTAAATATTTTTGGATGTTTCCCACTTTTTCAAATATGATTTCAATTACAGTGCTCACTTTAGATATATTTTTGATTACAAATATTTGCTCTGTAAAAAAGAAACACAAGCAGTATTTCAATTAACCTCCTACAAGTACTGTAGTATAATCTCTTTATAATGAAAGTTGAACTTACAAATGTAGAATTAAGTACAAAAAATAACTGCACTCAAAAACAAAACAATGTAAAACTTGAGAGCTTAGAAAGTCCACGCAGTCCTATTTCTTGTTCAGCTAATTGCTAAGACAGACAAGTTTGTTTACATTTACGAGAGATAATGACACTCATTTAAAAATATGCGCTAATTTGTGACTGAACTCGTTGGGGGAGAATTGTATGTCCCTGTTCTATTTTTTAGCCGCAGTCTGCCGTATATTTGATGTCCCAGCACATGTTGTTCGTTTTTAGAATACTTTCACCTCAGGTTTGACAATACACAAAGAAGGTACCAATGTGAAATTTCTAAAGATAGCTATAGCACTTGACCCAAGGTTTAAGAATCTGAAGTGCTTTCCAAAATCTGAGAGGGACGAGGTGTGGAACATGCTTTCAGAAGTCTTAAAAGAGTAACACTCTGATGCAGAAACTGCAGATCCCAAACTACCAAAAAAGAAAATCAACCTTCTGCTGGTGGCATCTGACTCAGATGATGATAATGAACATGCATTGGACTGCACTGCTTTGGATCGTTATTGAGCAGAATGCGTCGTCATCAGTATGGACACATGTCCTCTGGAATGGTGGTTGAAGCATGAGGGACATATGAATGTTTAACATATCTGACGTAAATACCTTGCAACGCCGGCTACAGAAGTGCCATGCAAACGCCTATTCTCATTTTTCAGGTGACATTCTAAATAAAAAGCAGACAGCATTATTTCCTGTAAATGTAAACAAACATGTTTGTCCTAGCAATTGGCTAAATATGAATTATGACTGCGTGGACTTGTAGGCTCTAAAGTTTTACATTGTTTTGTTTTTGGGTGCAGTTATGTAACAAAAAATCGACTTTTTTTAAGTTGTACTTTCATGATAAAGATATTGCACTACAGTACTTGTATGAGGTGAATTGAAAAAAACTATTATCATTTTTACAGTGCAAATATTTATAATAAAAAAATATAAAGTGAACACTGTGCACTTTGTATTCTGTGTTGTAATTGAAATCAATATATTTGAAAATGTAGAAAAAATACCAAAAAATGTAATAAAAACTAAAAGATAGAAAACAAAGGGTAGGAATAAATGGTCAGTTTTCAGAATGGAGAGACCTTACAAGAAGTGGAAGATTGGACAAATGACCAGGGAAGAGTATAAAAATGTTGCTCGGGCATGTAGGAATGAAATCAGAAGGGCCAAATCACACCTGGAGCTGCAGCTAGTGAGAGATGTTAAGAGTAACAAGAAGGGTTTCTTCAGGTATGTTGGCAACAAGAAGAAAGCCAAGGAAAGTGTGGGCCCCTTACTGAATGAGGGATGCAACCTAGTGACAGAGGATGTGGAAAAAGCTAATGTACTCAGTGCTTTTTTTGCCTCTGTCTTCACGAACAAGGTCAGCTCCCAGACTGTGGTGCTGGACAACACAGCATGGGGAGGAGATGACCAGCTCTCTGTGGAGAAAGAAGTGGTTCAGGACTATTTAGAAAAGCTGGACGTGCACAAGTCCATGGGGTCGGATGCGTTGCATCCGAGAGTGCTAAAGGAGTTGGCGGCTGTGATTGCAGAGCCATTGACCATTATCTTTGAAAACTCATGGCGATCGGGGGAAGTCCCGGACGACTGGAAAAAGGCTAATGTAGTGCCCATCTTTAAAAAAGGGAAGGAGGAGGATCCTGGGAACTACAGGCCAGTCAGCCTCACCTCAGTCCCCAGAAAAATCATGGAGCAGGTCCTCAAGGAATCAATCCTGAAGCACTTAGAGGAGAGGAAAGTGATCAGGAACAGTCAGCATGGATTCACCCCCAAGGGAAGGTCATGCCTCACTAATCTAATCGCCTTCTATGATGAGATTACTGGTCCTGTGGATGAAGGGAAAGCAGTGGATGTATTGTTTCTTGATTTTAGCAAAGCTTTTGACACGGTCTCCCACAGTATTCTTGTCAGCAAGTTAAAGAGGTATGGGCTGGATGAATGCACTATAAGGTGGGTAGAAAGTTGGCTAGATTGTCGGGCTCAACGGGTAGTGATCAATGGCTCCATGTGTAGATGGCAGCCGGTATCAAGTGGAGTGCCCCAAGGGTCGGTCCTGGGGCCGGTTTTGTTCGATATCTTCATAAATGATCTGGAGGATGGTGTGGATTGCACTCTCAGCAAATTTGCGGATGATACTAAAGTAGGAGGAGTGGTAGATACGGTGGCAGGTAGGGATAGGATACAGAAGGACCTAGACAAATTGGAGGATTGGGCCAAAAGAAATCTGATGAGGTTCAACAAGGATAAGTGCAGGGTCCTGCACTTAGGACGGAAGAATCCAATGCACCGCTACAGACTAGGGACCGAATGGCTAGGCAGCAGTTCTGCGGAAAAGGACCTAGGGGTGACAGTGGACGAGAAGCTGAATATGAGTCAACAGTGTGCCCTTGTTGCCAAGAAGGCCAATGGCATTTTGGGCTGTATAAGTAGGGGCATAGCCAGCAGATCAAGGGACGTGACCGTTCCCCTCTATTCGACATTGGTGAGGCCTCATCTAGAGTACTGTGTCCAGTTTTGGGCCCCACACTACAAGAAGGATGTGGACAAATTGGAGAGAGTCCAGCGAAGGGCAACAAAAATGATTAGGGGTCTGGAACACATGACTTATGAGGAGAGGCTGAGGGAACTGGGATTGTTTAGTCTGCAGAAGAGAAGAATGAGGGGGGATTTGATAGCTGCTTTCAACTACCTGAAGGGTGGTTCCAAAGAGGATGGTTCTAGACTATTCTCAGTGGTAGAAGATGACAGGAGAACGAGTAATGGTCTCAAGTTGCAGTGCGGGAGGTTTAGGTTGGATATTAGGAAAAACTTCCTCCCTAGGAGGGTGGTGAAACACTGGAATGCGTTACCTAGGGAGGTGGTAGAATCTCCTTCCTTAGAAGTTTTTAAGGTCAGGCATGACAAAGCCCTGGCTGGGATGATTTAATTGGGGATTGGTCCTGTTTTGAGCAGGGGGTTGGACTAGATGACCTCCTGAGGTCCCTTCCAACCCTGATATTCTGTGAAATAGTGGTGTCTCCAAGGGGTCTGTACTGGGGCCAGACCTATTCAACATATTCATAAATGATCTGGAAAAAGGGGTAAACAGTGAGGTGGCAAAATTTGCAAATGATACAAAACTACTCAGGATAGTGAAGTCCCAGGTTGACTGCAAAGAGCTACTAAAGGATCTCTCAAAACTGGATGACTGAGCAACAAAATGACAGGTGGAAATTCAATGTTGATAAATGCAAAGTAATGCACATTGGAAAACATAATCCCAACTATACATATAAAATGATGGGGTCTAAATTAGCTGTTACCACTCAAGAAAGAGATCTTGGGGTCATTGTGGATAGGTCTCTGAAAACATCCACTCAATGTGCAGCGACAGTCAAAAAAGCGAACAGAATGTTGGAAAGCCTTAAGAAAGGGATAGATAAGACGGAAAATATCATATTACCTCTATATAAATCCATGGTATGCATGCAGATGTGGTCACCCCATCTCAAAAAAGATATATTGGAATTGGAAAAGGTTCAGAAAAGGACAACAAAAATGACTAGGGGTATGGAACAGCTGCCATATGAGGAGAGATTAATAAGACTGGGAATTTTCAGCTTGGAAAAGAGATGACTACTGGGGGATATGATAGAGGTCTATAAAATCATGACTGGTGTGAGAAAGTAAATAGTGTTGTTTACTCCTTCTCATAACACAAGAACTAGGGGTCACCAAATGAAACTAATAGGCAGCAGGTTTAAAACAAACAAAAGGAAGTATTTTTTTTTACCACACAACACCCACTCAACCTGTGGAACTCTTTGCCAGATGACGTTGTGAAGGCCAAGAATGTAACAGGTTTCAAAAAATAATCAGATAAATTCATGGAGGATAGGTCCATCAATAGCTATTAGCCAGGATGGACACGGATGGTGTCCCTAGCCTTTGTTTGCCAGAAGCTGGGAATGGACAACGGGATGGATCACCTGATGATTACCTGTTCTGTTCATTCCCTCTAGGGCACCTGGCATTGGCCATTGTCAGAAGACAGGATACTTGGCTAGATGGACCTTTGGTCTGACTCATTGTGGCCGTTCTTATGTTCTTATTAGTATGAAGACCTCTCCTTTTTTAATGTAATTTATTTGGCTCTCTGAGTCTTTATTTAAACCTTTAATATTATACACTGCCGCTTCACAGTCTGAGCAATATCCCTTATGGACACATTATGTGGTGCAAGTTTATTATGTAATGGCAATACAAAGCTCCCTTTGTTGTAGTAGTCTTTGTTACAAGATTGCCTATAGTGTAGGGCTGCAAAATTCTAGCTTCAAGAAGTTCATTATAACCTCCTACTTCACAATAGATTGCTCTCTCAGCTCTCAATAAGACTCCGACAGAGAGGATGCACTCTGTTGAAAATAGGTAAAGATATATGCAATAATTGTGTATGATTTTTTTAAGGGAGCCAATATGATGTCTGGAAAAACCTGTGATGGTCTTGAGAGTTGTGTAGAACTAACCTAGGTGCTTTATTAAGAGTATAGATTCTGAAAATGTATTGTCCTGCTGGTAAATGTGAAATAATATAGTGATTTCTTAAAGATTTTTGTCTGGGAAGTAACTTTAAGAATGAGTTAAGGTAGAAAATTCAAATGACAATTACGTTATTATAGTTTACACAACAAATCTCAAATACTAGAAAAAAGGAAATTTACTGTTCCAGTACTAAACTTTGTCCTTCTGTTTTCTCCCCTCTTCTGCCTAAGAGTGGGAGATGCTAATCATTGGCCACATGAAATTTATGTGCCTTATTGAGAGTGTGAATTCCAGTGGTACAGTCTTTAGTTGCATGTTGTTACAACCTGTACCCACGCTACAAGATTGAATACAGCCTGGTTTCTGCTATGCATCTGGTGGGTATTGGGGCAGGTTAAGGGTATGTCCTTGGGACCCAGGTTCTATCCTGGAAAATGCCCCAAATAGATCAGCAGGTGTTGCACAACAAATAGCTTATGGTCAGCTGCGGTTCCAGAGTGCAGGACCCAGGCTGAGTAGGAAAAGGAGAAATATGGGTATGTCTGAGTCCTCTGAGGTTACATCAGATAATTTGGTGACTGGCCTGAGGGGAGGCAGAAACTGAGCCAAAATCTAATCTAGGCATGATATCATATTCATTGCTGTCACATGTGAGCACTGGGAATCAAACAAAAAGAATTTTGCACGTAATTCAGAAGTAAAACGCACACTTGGGCACATGTGGTATTCTCTACACAAACTAACTAAACTGTGTTAAAAGGATGTGGTCTCTTACCCATTTCAGAAGCAAACACACAGTTAGTACAGAGTTTTCCGCCCATATCCAGAGAGGGTTGGACTGGATTGGAGTTGTGTATTTTCCCCTTTCCACTAATGAGTGCTCTGGATAAATCAATGCTGGAGGATTCTAATTGTAAGAAATTGTACTGCTTTTTTGTATTGTTGCTTCTTCTTGATGCTGCCTGCAAACAGCTGTTACGCTAACTAGCAGCGTGCTAAAATTTCTCCAGAAGGGCATATCAGACATAGGTGCTGGAAGTAGGGGTACTGTGGGTGCTGTCTCACCCCCTGGGTTGAAGTAGTAATAACAACCCAGATACATGGTTTCCACCTTCAGCACCCCCACTATAAAAATTGTTTTAGCACCCCTGATATCAGACTGTGAGTGAAAGAAAGTAAAACAGATGGACCAGATGAAATCAAATCTGAATGGCGTCACCTGGAATAGGAACATGCTTTTCTAGTGCTACTTCCTGCAGGTGTTGAATCCAACATACTGTAGCAGGTCAGTTCAGATTTTTTTACCTCATAGTAGTTTTGCTAAGAGAAGGGTACCGTCCAAGAATTTAACCAGAGTCTCTGGCCATGTGGACCTTGCTTCCAGGCACTAAAATTTCCATAGTGTGTTTTGATGTACTGCTGTTTCAAATATTTAGTGTGCAGTAGCAGGGTCCATGCTGCCATTTAATGTTCAGCTAGCGTGCTGTAGATTTGCACCCTGGATTGTCCCGCACTAGGTCTCCATGTACATAAACACTACTAGAAAGTGCCAAGTTACTAACTGTGTAGCATAAGTGCCCTTCACAGATTGTAGCATGTGGAAAGTCTAGTTCTCAAGGGACAACCTAACAAAGAGGGTAAACTATGCAAATTAAACTGCAGGAAATGCAATGATCTTTTTTCCCCTCCTCTTTGCAGCACGATGGCTGACAAAACAAAGTCCACTAAACCTGCAAACAAGACCCCTCCAAAGTCTCCTGCAGATCCAGCAAAAGAGAGAGCAGCCAAAAGGCTATCTTATGAGTCCAACAGTTCCCACGAAGGGGCTATGGCAGCAGAGCTTAGTGCTCTAGAAGAGACTTTTAGAAAATTTGCCATCCACGGAGATACCAGAGCCACAGGAAAAGAAATGCATGGGAAAAACTGGTCAAAATTATGTAAGGACTGTCATGTGATAGATGGGAAGAATGTGACAATCACAGATGTTGACATTGTCTTCAGTAAAATCAAGTAAGTTCCTTCCCTTTTCTCGCTCCCTTGTCTTGTTATACTTTGCACCCACCTCCAGGTTTATATTTATATTCCCCTCACCCCACAAAGCTGGTGTGACTTATAGAATTAACATTTTATTGAGCAATAGCAGGTACAGCACACAACATGTACCTCTGCCACAATTACACCCTGGCTCTGGTTCAAGTCAGGCTATAGTCAGTGGTAAGTGAGGGGTTAACCCATGCATAATTCTACAGGTTTTAAACACACTTGTAAGCCAGAGGGCAGATTCACCAGCTGGGGCAGTCCGAAGAGCTGCCACAGACCCTCACTAGTTTTTGTTTTTTTTTCCCACCTTGGAGGCTAAGAATCCAGTTTGACTGAGGTAATAAATAAGATTTTCTTGGTGGTCCCAAACTTGTGTGGCATGGGCACGCATCTACATCGCAAATACGCCATGCATTTTTTTGTGGCTGAAGCCTTCTACTTATCAGCCACCAAAACTTGGATGGTGTACTGGTAATGAAAATGCATGTGCGTGCTGCCCATAGATTGGCACTGCCAAGCAAATTTTATTTATTACCTTTTACCAATTACCACCAAATTGGAATCCTAACCTCCCAGGGGAAAAACTAGTCAAGGCCTGATCCAAAACCCAGTGAAGTCAATGGAAAGACAGTTAGTTCAGTGGACTTTGCATCAAGCCCTAAAATTGCTATCTTACTTGCCTCCCCCCTCCAAACTGCTTACGTTTGATCAGATGTAGAGACACAAACATATTGGCTAATTAGGCCCTCTCCTCCATTACCTTAGAAGTTGTTTAAGTTGCACAACACTTAGTTTTATTTAAGGACAAATTTTCAGCAAGGTTCCTTAATTGTGCTAATAGTTTTCAGGAGTATATGTTTGGACATGCCCTTACCCACAGTTTCATGTGTAAATGCTGGTTTGAGGCCATGCAAACTGAGGCAGCTGCAGGTTCAATTAGGGAGACTTGCTGAAAATTTGACCCTTAGAGCCCACCAAAGATAAGAAATACGGAGAAGAAAGGGCCCTTTACCCTTCACGGGTTGTCCAGTGTGATGTACACGAGTCATAGGACATCATGTCATTAATTCTTGAATGAATCCATTGTTTATGCTTGAACAACCTCATCCACTGGCTTTTTCCTAACATTTGTCATTTTCCAAGAGGGGAAAAAATGCTGTTTGTGGTGAGTGTGTTTCCTCTCACGGCTGTTTGCTTCTTGCTCTGTCTTCAGCTGACAAGCCAGCGTAGGCACTCGAACCCTTTTGTTCTTGGGTTAGCTTCTCGCCATCTCTGTTCCCGTGACAGTATTTCTCTGGAGATTCTGTTACTATAACCAAGCTCTGTATTTCAAGTGGAATCTTATCAGTGAACTAGCCCACTGTAGTAGATGGCTAAGCTTGGAGGTGTTTGGCCTTTCGGTTTTGTGTTTTAATTAATTTTGATGGATGATGTCAATGTTCTATTTTCAAGTATTCTTTGGTTTTGATCAACTTAAATATTTATTTGTTGCTAGCCTAACAGGAAATGACAAAGGACTACTTTCTCAGGCCAGTTTCCATGCAGTAAATGATGTGATAGGCCCTTAGTATTGCAGAAACTGGCTGTGCACAGGATTGATGGATCCCGAGGACTCAGAACTGATGCCTCCTGGGGTGGAGTGGATTCACTTATGCTCTGTGGGAATGAGGTGTGGATCCAGTGGTGCAAGAAGGGCGATATGGTACACCATACCACTAAGCTATTTATAGCCGATACGGGGTACCGGAAAGACACAGGAGGAGCAGAACGTGGGGCCACCGGGTGGCCCCAGGCCAGCAGCTCCTCTGGTATGCTTGTACCGTCACCAGCTGTTCCACCCAGCTGCATGCATGCATACATCTCCTCCTGTCCGGGGTCTATACAGCAGCCCCATTGGAGGACAGGACTGGGGGTGGTACAGCTGTGCTGGAAGAGTTGCCGACATGGGGCCTCTCGGTGGCCCCAAGTTCTGCTCCTTTCACCGCTGCAGTTCCCGGGAGAGCCCTGAACCTCGGGGCTCTCCCGGGAACCACAGCAGCGAAAGGAGCACAACATGGAGCTCCTCCAGCGCGGCTGTAGTGCCCCCCAGCCCTTCCACACAGCTGCGTGCCTGCGTCTCTGGTCTGGGGTCTGTACAGGGGTCTGCTGGGGGCGGGGCTGCCGTGCCGGAGGAGCTGCCAATGTAGGGCTGCCCAGTGGTCCCATGGTCTGCTCCTTTCGCCGCCGCGGTTTCCAGGAGAGCCATGTGGTTCAGGCCGTCAGCGCCTTCGGCACGGCTGTACTGCCCCCCACCTTGTCCCCCCAGCCCTGTCCTCCAGCAGGGCTGCTGTACGGACCCTGGACAGGACTCAGGAAATGCAGCTGTGTGGAAGGGCCGGGGGAGGGGCTGGGGGCAGTACAGCCCTGCCAGAGGAGCTGCCGGTATGGGGCTCAGTTGCCAGCGTGTCTGAAAAAAATATTCTTTGCTGTCAGAGGGAGCTGGTTTGAAGCTCTTCTGCTGGCAATTCCCAAAGCAGGTGTGACTGTGAAGTGGCTATTGTTCCAGGAGCAAGCCCCCTCTTCTCTTAGCAGCCCACACAGCAGCTGTGCTCTGTCCACCCACTGGGAGCGCTCCCCGCCCAGGTAACGTGGGATGGATCATGAGGAGGGGGAGAGTGCATGGCCCCGGGTTGAGGGCGGATTGGGTCACGTGGGGAGGTAACGCATCCTCTCCCCCTTTAGCCGGTGCTGTGTACCTGTAAGACCTGAATTCTACTTGCACCACTGTGTGGAGCGTTAGGGACATGGGGCAAGAGCAGGGGTCTCAAACGCAAATGACCACGAGGGCCACATGAGGACTTGTACATTGGCCCGAGGGCTGCACCACTGACCACCCTCCCTCCCCCCCGCCACGCTGCCCTGACCCCGTCCCTGCCCTGCCTCTTCCCACCCTTCCCTGAAATCCCCATCCCAACTCTGCCCCCTCCCTGCCCCCAGGGGGTGCAGGAGGGGTGCAGGGGGCTTAGGGCAGGGGGTTGGGGTGCAGGAGGGGTGCATGCTGCTTCAGGGGGTCGGGGTGCAAGGTGGGGCAGGGGGTCAGGGTGCGGCAGGCAGCTCATGGCAGGGGGTTGGGGTGCAGGAGGTGTGCAGGGTGCAGCAGGGGGCTCAGGATGGGTGTTCGGCTGCAGGAGGGGTTTGGGGGGCGGGTTTGACCCGGCACGCACTGGAGGCAGGGCAGGCTCCCTGCCTGCCTACACTGCCCCTGTGCCGCTCCGGGAAGTGGCTGGGACCTGGGGGCGGGGGAGGGAGGGTCGGGGCACAGGAGTCTCTGTGGTGCCCTGGCCGCTCCTCCAGGTACCTCCCCCCAAAGCAGCCTGGAGGAGCAGCCAAGGCAACACACAGACCCCTGTCCGTCCCCAGTCCGTCCGTCCCTCCCCTCAGGTCCCGGCCACTTCCCGGAGTGGCGTAGGGGCAGGGCAGGCAGGCAGGTGCGTGCCAAGCCGGAGCCGCTCTAGGTAAATGCTGGGGGGGTGTAGGGGGGCCACGGGGAGCTGGCAGGCCACAGAAAATAACCCCTGGCCCGCGGGCCGTGTGTTTGAGACCCCTGGGCTAGAGGGAGAATGCACTGATATAAACACAGGCCACTTCCACTCCCCCGTGATCCCTATTGTCAAGGAGGTAACCAGTACATTTTTTTGTTGTATAAAAATAGCCCAGGAATTCCTGATTTCTCAACCTTTGCTGGAATGACAGAGCTGCAGTAACTCCCATGCAGCTATTACAGGGTTAATTGCTTCCCCCTTTAGGAATGGGGATCACTGGGTTCTTCCTCTCATGACTGCCCTGGGGTGCTGGCTCTTCTGGCTCAGAGGGCCCTGTCTTCCGTCTTTTTTCTCCTGGCTGGCTGCTTACTTATGGAGCTCTGCAGTGTAGTTGTAGCCGTGCCAGTCCCAGATCTATTCAGAGTGGGTGAAACCAAACAATCACTATGCTCTCGAATGAACTGACACAGAAAACTGATAAAAGACAAAACCACCCTCCCACCTGTGGGTGAACACATTTCAGCAATCACTTCATATATGACCTCTCAGTTCTCATCCACAACATGTTCCAAAGACAAGCCTGGGAGCTTAAACTCCTAACTCTGCTAGACACTAAAAATCATGGACTGAACAGAGATGCTGGATTTCTGGTTTATTACAACAATCTATAAGCTACTAATTGCCTCCTTTTGTCCTATGACTGCAGAGGTGTCAACGAGCCACTTTACCTTGAATGGTCCCTTAGCATATTCGCTAACTACTTATGCTAAACAATCTGTTCCACCTTGCATTTAGCTGTCACACTCTTGAGTGCCTTTCCCAGCCCTGAAGGAGAGCTCTGTGTGGTTCGAAAGCTTGTCTCTCTCACCAACAGAATTTGGTTCAATAGAAGATACTACCTCACCCACCTTGTTTCCTTTTGGAGCTGTCAGCCAAGGACAGTGCTGAAACAAGGGAACTTAGCCTCTTACCCCCTTGTCAATCAACTGGAGAAACCAGTCTTCCATTATCTTGGGAAACCGTGTGCATACTCTTTGCCTCTTTAATGTCATTCCTCAGTGCCCAGGTGGGGTGGAGTCATGAGTAGGGTGTAAGTATTGAGCAGTGACTGCTGGTTGGGTGGCTTTCAGAGGCTCCTACGCAAAGGTGCCAGGACCCAGGATTAGCCTTCAGTTACTGTTTTCTGTTGATACCTGAAGTCACTGCCTTTTTAATAGTTGGAAGATAAAATAATTTATTTTAGAATATTAATTTCTTATTAACAAATTGCCCACCCATTGTCGGCAAGTGCAGCATAAGTTTTGAAAGTTCCCTCTGTGTAAATTAGTATTTTTAGCTATGACATTTCTTTGTATTTTATCGGTGGAGAGAGAAATAAGCAAAAACTGACATTTAACTGTGAAAACTTCAATATTTCAAGCCTTCCTTAAAAGATTCTACCACATCATT